CATTGGGCTTAATGGGAATGAACACTTGAAATTAGGATTGTTGAGGAAAATCCTAGCAGTAGAGTCATTGCCCTTTAAATACCAAAGAAAATTATGGATCATAATTTGTCTGTGTTTGGTGGGCAAATTTCTATTCTTACCTCTTTGGCAATAAGGAAATTACGCTGTTTATATTCAGAGCATGTAATTAGCATCATCCCTACTGACCTATTGGAAGTTAAAAAGTTTTGCTTAGAGTCCATCTAATCACTGACAAAAACATTTCCCAACTGACTTGGTAGAGCTTACTGATGATTACACCTATACTTTCCCCTGGCTTTCAAAATGCCATTTAGAGAGGATAAATTGGTTCATAATGAAAGCGCTCATCAATTTTTGAAATGTACATTGAGCATTGATCTTGTCTTTTTCTTTTTTTTTTTTTAAATCAAGAGTAAACTGTATTATTAAGGTACTGGGACATGTGAGGTGAATGGAAAAATATCATGCCTCATGTGGTTACTTCTGATTCTTTCTTTTTTGTTTTTTTGAGACTGAGTCTCACTCTGTCACCCAGGCTGAAGTGCAGTGGCGCAATCTTGGTTCACTGCAACCTCCGCCTCCCGGGTTCAAGTGATTTTTCTGCCTCAGCCTCTCAAGTAGCTGGGACTATAGGCGCGCACCACCACGCCTGGCTAATTTTTGTATTTTCGGTAGAGATGGGGTTTCACCATATTGGCCAGACGGGTCTCGAACTCCTGGCCTTGTGATCTGCCCACCTCAGCTTTTCAAAGTGCTGTCATTACAGGCGTGAGCCACTGGACCTGGCCTTACTTCTGATTTTTTAACTCTTGGATCAGATTTTACAAAGGAATGGTATGTAAACAACACACATTTTAAGCCTATTCGCACGATTGACTTCAGATGTGGAGGTGAGTAGGCAGGTCACTGACTAGTATGATCTGAGAGTTTTCAAAAACTATTTCTATTGTTACTCTGACAGTCTGAAACTGTGGCCAATTGGCTAAACTCCTGCATATAAAAGAAATGGAGTTGTTTGGGCTAAAATATGGATGAGGGAGTGGGAGATTTTTGCCCTACTATCTTAGTTTCTTTTTGGAACTTCTATCTATACCCTTTGAAAATCACTGCTGACCAACACTGAAGAAGTGGTTAACTCTGTGTGAGTAAGCAATCACCACCTGGCTACTGGGCCAATTGATTTTTGACCTAGAGGAAAGTTTTCATAGAACGGTAACGTTTGATGGGAAAGAAGAATGGCCTTTTTGACTACCTATTGCATGGCAGACACTACAGGTGTTTTATAGACATTGGGTCATTTAAAGTCCCTAATAGGTCTGTGTGGTAGTGATTAGGATGGAAGGAGACTGAAGAATAGGGAGAACAGTAGCTGAAATCCTGAGTGGGATCTGTCTGTGAACAGATTTCAGTGACCTACTTTGAGCTCGTAAGTCCACATCCAGATCTAACATCTCACCACTTCAGTGGTGAAGAAGGAAGATCTGGGGATTCCTATTGTAATTTTTTAGTGGCAATTTGTATAAGTTTATAGCTAGTAAGCGGTGGAGCCAGAATGTATACCAACATTCATTATGTCAGGTCTCCTAACTAGAAAACCCACATTTCTTTCCTCTTATATGGAGAGGAAGTATTATATAACATGAGAGGTTAAAACGTGGGCTGACAAGCCACATTGCCTGGCTTCTGATCCTTACTCTACCACTATGCTACTTGTGATATCTTGAATGAACTACTCAATCTCGGTATGCCTGTCTCCTCAAAGTTAAATGTAGAGAGGGATACTCCATGTTTAGCAGCTATCTCACATGTCTTTAATACATGTAATGAGCTTGGTATACAATAAGCCTTCAATAAGTTGAAATTTCGTCACTAATTGTTATTGTGACCAAGCTGAGAGGCTATTCCTCTGCCCGGTTCTGAAATAGGGCTGAGCTGGAGATCATGGCTGGCTACCAAGCCAAAGGGCACAGGCTTCTTGGTCAGTGATAAAAAGGGAACACTGATGCTGAAAACAAGCCTTGCCCATTTCAGTATTTTGCCTTGAAGTGGTCCTGGAGAACTATATTCTCTAAGCCCTGAGGCTTCTCAACAATAAATAGTAAGCACTGGTAGAGCTTATTCTTAAACTTATTATTATATGAAGAGAGATCTAAAGGTCTAAAGGTAGGCTAACAAGTTCCATGTGAGTGATGCCAGACATTTCGGTTCTGATGAACTGAAGTTCATTTTAGTAGACACCCACGTACTTCAATTGATTATGGAATGGATTGAGTTCTATTTCTTAAGGAGACAGACGACAAGCTACTAAATGATTTTTACCCCACCATCCCCTGAAATACAATGTTTTTTTCAGTCTCTCAATGAAAGGGAAAGTGCCTCCTATTTTCCTTTATTTTGCTTTGTCTGGAGGTGACGGGGGTTATAAATTACACACCTCAACTGGGTGCTCTGGCTTACCCTAAAATCCCAGCACTTAGGGAGGCCAAGGCTGAAGGATGGGTTGAGGCCAGGAGTTCACAATCAGGTGGGCAATGTAGACCCTGTCTCTACAGAATTTAAAAAATTAGCTAGGTGTGGTGGTGTGCACCTGTGATCCCAGCTACTTGGGAGGGTGAGTCAGCAGGATTGCTTGAGCCCAGGAGTTTGAAGTTGCAATGAGCTATGATTGCACCACTGCGCGCCAGCCTGGGTGACAGACAGAGCAAGACTCTGTCTCTTAAAAAAAAAAAAAAGGCTGGGCACGGTGGCTCACACCTGTATCCTCAGCACTTTGAGAGGATGAGGTGGGCAGATCACTTGAGCTCAGGAGTTTGAGACCAGCCTGGACAATGTGGCAAAACCTTGTCTCTACCAAAAATACAAAAATTAGCCAGGTGTGGTGGTGTGTGCCTGTCGTTCCAGCTACTCTGGAGGCTGAGGTGGGAGGATCACTTGAGCCCAGCAGGTCCAGGCTGCAGTAAGCTATAATTGTGCCACTGTACTGCAGTCTGGGGGACAGAGTAAGACTATGTCTCAAAGAAAATAGTAATAATAAAAGAAGTAAATTACAGACCTCAGTATTCTGTGTAATTTGTGAAGTTTTACTATTTTTCAGTTTTAACTGACTGAAGAGTCCTTGCTTTAAATGGAGATCCAAGGAAAATATAGCATATGGAACCCTTGTTAAACAGTTACCCACGTGTAACAGTTTAAAAATTCTTTAGAGAACACTATTAATTACAGTTATAAAAGCACAGTGGAATATAATGACTAATATGTGGAATTAATCCAGTATCTATGAGCCATTACTATAACTTACAATGTTAGGTACTAAGGATACAATGATGAGTAACATTTAGTCTCTGCCCTTGAAGAGTTCATAGCATAGTGGGGGAAAAAAGAAGTTGCAAAAAAGAACAATAAAAGTGTAATAGTAAAATGTACAAAGTGCTGCATAGGCAACAACTCTTTCTGGCAAAACTTGTTAGAGCATTACAAAAGAGAACCTTTCTAGTTAAGAGTTCCGTAAAATGACCGCAAATGATTGACTACTATATATATAGTGGTGTGGGGATGTGGGGATTCCATTTCTTAAGGAGACAGAAGACAAGCTGCTGAATGACATTTCGGTTCTGATGAACTGAAGTTCATTTTAGTAGACACCCATGTAGTTCAATTGATTATGGAGTGGATTGAGTTCACTCTGATATATATGAGAGGCATATATATATATATACACACACATATATAAAACCATATATATATGGTCATTCTTGGAAGCTAGAAAAATGTCAAATTAGTGGGAATTATGGCAGTGAATTCCCAATTATCCCTGTGCAGATAAGCTACCCTGTGGCACTTGGGCATGGTTCTCTCCATCCCATCTTAAAATCTGCTGACACCTCAGTTCTCCCTCTTGCCTTCCAATCCATTCCTGAAATCAGGCTACCAGTCCAGGAGAAGGCCTACCTCTTCCTTCATAAGTTTGCTAATATGGGCGTATAGAAATTATCCTATTTTCCATTTGATTATATACACTAGTGATAACTTCCATTACCAAGAAATATTAGCATGCTGGATAGCAGCTGTTAACACATTTTCAGCAACTGGTAAACTGAGGTGGCAGCTGCTATTAGGTATGGAAGGAAACAGAGGCCACACATATATGATGGAAAGGAGGTTACACTGAGGAAGACAGGAATTGGTCAAATGTAGTCAAAGGGTCTTCCTGCCCTATGCCGCAGCGGTATCATTTAGGTACCATAGAATGACAGCCTTCTGAGAGCCTCAGACTGCAAAAAGTTTAAAAATTGGGCATGAGTATGTGTGCTGAGGTATACATGTGTATGCATGTGTGTACTTGTGCTTATGTGTGTATACATATGTATGCATGAGTGTATTTGTGCATCTCTATGTGTGTATGAATGTATGTGTACACAAGTGTGTGTGTGAGACTAGGCAGGTTGGAAAGTAAGTAGAAGACTTCTCATACTACTCATGGGCTCTGCCTCTCCCCACCCCCACATCTCCAACAGACAAAAACGGAAATCATGTTTTGTGACCTGAGATTGCTTTCGAAAGTTTGTAGCTCTTCGAGGACATTCCAGTGGGACCCTCATTGGTTCCCTGCAGGATGGTGGATTTTCTGTCAGCCGCCCCCCAACCCCCACCAGGTTCCTGAATCGTCCCCCTCCTGCATGCAGCTGCAGCTCTGCAGAGGTGGGCCGGCCCGGGCAGACTCTGCCCGTGGCGCACGCGGCTCGCGGGCTGGAGTCAGCCCGTGGTGCGGGCGGGAGGGCGGGGGCTGGGAAAGGCCATGCCTCCAGCTGCAGAGGTTGCACACAGCTGGCATGATCGCGGTCACCTGCGCGGCGCCAGTGCCCTTGCGCTCGCGTTGCCCGGCCCGCGGCCGCGGACTTTGCGGCGGGAGCGCGGCGCGGTTAAGCACCGGCGCGGAGGGCGCCCGGCGTAGGCGGCGGCGGGTGTGGGCCGAGCCGGTATTTATAGCTTCGTGACAGCAGCAGCGGCAGCGACGCCGCCGGCCCGTCTCGCCGCGCTTCCCAGCGAGGCCGCCGGCGCGCCGAGGGCTGTGCTTGACCGCGGCTCCCGTGTGTAGTCGCTCCGCGCGACCCTTCGGGTGAGTACGTGGGCCCGGGCGTTGGGCGAGCCTCCCCCGCCACTCGGTCCGGCCGCAGCGGAGCCCTCCCGGCCCTGCCGCCCGCAGCCCGGCTGCCTCCTCGTCCCTGCCCGCGAGTGCGGAAGCAGCCGCGGAACCCTGGCCCGGCCCCCGAATTCCCCGGCGCCTGTGCTCCTGCCTTCCTGGGGATGGCAGCCAAAGAGGCAGGGTGAAGTGTCAAGGAAGGAGGGGGACACACCAGCCCTCTGGCTAAGGGCAGTGGAGACTCCCGGGCGAAAGGCTCTTGGTAGGAGCCCTCAAACTCCCGGCTCCGGGGTGCAGAGATACGGTGGGAGAGCAGACCTTGAACTTTCCTTGCTTCAGCGATTCCTAGCCTAGGAACTGAGTAAAAGCCCTATTTTTCTTAATTAAATTAACAGGTTGCCGTTCGTAGGTGTTGTTCTTGGGGAAAAAAAACCAAAGACTTGGGTGTTTGGGTGTTTGCTAACTTCATCGTGACTAAATAAAACTATTTTTTTATTCCTATTTTTGAAAATGCCACAGGCCCACAAGTGTATTCTACCGTCTGTGAAACAATGAAGAGTGTGTGTGTGTGGGTGTGTGTGAGAGAGAGAGAGAGGGGAGTAAACATCACATGCTTATCAGGAACCAAAAAGGAAAAAAACATGAGGAAAAGTATGTTGAATATAAGGATATGTATTGCCCCCTAATTATAAATGATGTTATGGTCTGAAATCCAAGGAAAGACTTCTAGGAAGCTACAGGGTTTTTGTTTTGGCTTCAGAAACGAGGTCTTCCAGTTTATTGAATATAAAAGTAGTTGAATCCCTGTAAACCTCATTTTTTTTTGTTGTAAAGTATTGACATTTGACCATGGATATACTTTCTTTTATCCCTCCAGTCTTCGTAGTTTGAAAGTAATTATGGATTTTGACATTTTGTCTCAGGCATTTATCCCTCCTATTCCACCCTCCCTCTCATCCCTGTGATGACAAACTGGCTCTTGTCAGTTTTATCCATGCTTCTTTAAGCTGCCTTTAAAAAATACACTTTTTACATGAATTCTATTTAATTAATTAAATGTTTTTTTCTTTGGCATTATGTTTGGAATATGGCCATGGCAATTTCTTCTCTTTCCTTTTCTTTCTTTCATGGAGTCCGGTTCTGTCGCCCAGGCTGGAGTGCAGTGCCGTCATCTCACCTCACTGCCACCTCGCCGTCCCGAGTCAAGGGATTCTCCTGCCTCAGCCTCCTGAGTAGCTGGGATTACAGGCGCACGCCACCTTGCCTGGCTAATATTTGTATTTTTAGTAGAGATGGGGTTTCACCATGTTGGTCAGCCTGGTCTCGAACTGCTGACCTCGTGATCGGCCCGCCTTGGCCTCCCCAAGTGCGGTGATTACAGGTGTGAGCCACTGCGCCCGGCTGGCAATTCTTTATTACAAACAAATCACTGAAAAGGAGGTCTAAACATTTTTAAAGGATATAGTAGTGATTATTTTTTAACTTTATAATGTGCTAGGGCTCATAAGTATTTTGCCATTTCAATGGAAAGTTGTCTCTGTTCAGAGGACCAGTAGACCTATTTTGCTTTTGGAGTTGCTGTTTTAAAAACTTGCATTGATTAAGCAATTTGTTTACCCAAGGACTGCAGGATAGGAACAAGGGAAGAAAAATCACTTAAAGGTTGAAACAATGTGAAGAGAAAATCTAGGAAGTGATTTATAGATGTAAACCTCTAAATTAGCTAAGGTACCACAAATACTGTCCTGGAATCTATCAGAACCACTTATAGTGGTTTTATTGATTGACTTAAAAGGTTGCTGTTTATTTAAAAGCCCTGTGGTCTTTTGTATTAGACTAAAAGTAAGAAGTTCTAACTTTATTTCTGTTATTATTGCTATTTGTGTGTTTTTTTTAAACCTGTATTAGGCACTTGCATTATGTAAAATGGTATATGTAATCTTTTCTTGCCTTTTTATCTAACAATTGAAGATAATCTACTAAGACCTGTCATTACCTCAGGACTGGTCTGTGCGCGTGTGTACATATGTGTGTGTGAGACCAGGTAGGTTGGAAAGTAAGTATAAGACTTTTCATACTCCTTGTGGGCTCTGCCTCTCCCCACCCCCACATCCCCATACCACCAATAGACAAAAACAGAAATGATGTTGTGCCGCCTGAGATTGCTTTCGAAAGTTTGTAGCTCTTTGAGGACAGTCTATAAATTTGGTTTTTCACCTTTCTGCCATTTCTCCTTTTGCAGATTTGGATGTGTATTATCCAGACTGTACTCTTTCTGGAATGGAGTCTTCTAGTTTTTTGTTTTTTGGTTTTTTTTTCCCTCACCCAGGCTGGTCTGTTTTCTGTTATCCATACATCTGTTTATTCATTTATTCATCCATCAGCAAATATGTATTGAAGGCCTACTAGGTGCAAGTCATCACTTAGTACTTAACTCTTACTTCGTTCCCATTGAAATTTTATTCTGTATTTTATACATCACACAATGGTAACTAAGAGTAATAACTTTGGAGTTATATAGAGGTAGTCATACCTGTTTCTGTCAGCTGGTAGCTTTATGATCCTGGACAGATCATAACCTCTCTGAATTTCTGTTTCTTCACTGGTAAATCCAAATGGCTGGTATCAGGAATAATTGAGAAAATACGTGGAAAGTGCTTTCCAAGAGCCCAACCCCTAAGAGCACTAAAAAGTGTTAATTACAAGTGCTGTCTACACTACTGCAACCCTCTTCATCTCAGGAAATGCGTTTTCCATCTCAGGAAATGGTAGTTCCATTCTGGATTTTGCCTAGATCACGTCTACATCCAATGTATTAGTAAATCTTAGTAGTTATTTTTGATGTGCCCAGAACCAGAGTTGTTTAAACTGCCTTAATTTCTCTCTGCTTGGTCCAAGTTGCTGCATCTCTTTGGCAACGGCTTCCTCAGTAGCTTCCCTGCTTCTGTTCCTTGCCCTCCTTTCTTACAAAATATTTTCTATCAGGAAACAGACAGGCCCTTCTGACATATAAATCAGATTGTGTCCCTCCTCTGCTTCCTATCCCACTTGGGGTGAAAGCCCACATAGGAGGGCTTCAGGGTCTGCTCATGATCAGGTGCTACCTCCTGTACCTCATCTCTTTCATACTCCCCTGCACCTGCTCCCCATCCAGTCATACTGCCCTCCTTGAAGATCCTTAATTTGCTCTAAACCTGCACCCAACAATAGCCTTTCCAACTTTTGTTCCCTCTATCTGGATCACACTTTCCCCAGATAGCTGCTGACTTCTCTCCCTTCTTTTGTGCCTGTCTTCTGATGTCACCTTATAATGAGGTCTTCAACTTCCCTCACACCTGACACTCCCTGTTAACTTTTCCTTGCTTTAATTTTCTCTGTGAACTTTCTTGAATACTGTGTTTAATTTTTATTTGTTTAATATCTGTTTCCCTCAAAGAAACTATCAGATACAAGCAACAGGTCTTTGTCTGTTAGTTACCCTAGCACATAGGCCTGTGCCTGGCAAAAAATAGGCAAGTGGTAAATATTGAACAAATGAATGAATGAATGTTGTTATGGAGTTAACAAATCTGTACATCATCACTTTTATATGCATGATTGTCTCTTCTGCTCTGAAACCTTTGATAATTCTCTATTTTCAGTAAAATAGAGACCAACACTTTTGGATAATCTTTGTTGGATTGGCTCCAAATTATCCTTAACTCTCACAGGATAATGCCAAGCACCCAGTGTTCCAGCCACACGCAACTACTGATACAGCTCTAAATCAGTCCCAGGCAGTTTCTTCTGTGCCTTTGCACAAAATAGAAGTACTGTGAATTTTTTTTTTTTTTAAATATCAGATGGCTTTATTATCAGAAACTTTCTAACTAATGTAAAGGGTAAGATTTTAGAATTTGTGTCTTTGTGTGTGGGAGGCATTGCATGGAGTGTTGAAGCCAGGTGGCTTGGGTTTAGATTGTGGCTCTGATATAAATTAATTTTGTTATTTTTTTACAAGGTACTGAACTCTAAGTCTCAGTTTCAATATTTGTGAAATGGGGAAAATAATATTTTCTTCATTGGTTTGCTATGAAATTTAAGAGATGCTGGTAAAGCTCATCAGCATAGTGACTGGTATATAGTATGTGCTCAACAAATGTTAGCCTTAGAAATATTAATTTAACACCTCGTGCTGAAATGAGAGGGAGTTGAGTGGGGGTGCATTAGTATTGTTACTGGCCAGGTCATCAATGTAGTCCTTGGTCTCCACTGCTCCTCTTCGCTTTGTTTGCCTTAGCGGAAGTTGAATGGCAGATTGCTCCACCCTCTTCTCATCTCACCTAAATAATGAGGGAGCTTCTCTTTGTGAGTGTACCACTCAGCTCATCCAATAGATACCTACTGATCACCCAATATGAGCCCAGTATTGTGCTGTGCCCTGGCAGTAAACAGCCACTTCTCTGAGGAGCTTATGATCAAGTGAGGGAGACAAACACATACACAGATAAATTCACTATAATGAGCCAGCAGCTAAGATAAAAGCTCATTGTCATCTGTGGTTATAGAAATGAATTTAAAAATGGAAAGGTTTTGCAGACTATGTGCCCTGTATAACATAGTCCATTTGAACAGCCTCAAGCCTGCATTTAAATTTAACAGTAGATACACCTAATGATCATACTGATTGTAAAGATGTTTTATGTGCACTACAGAGGTGAAAACGGCTTTGGTTCTCTGGATAATGTTGGGGTACCTAAGGAACTAGCAAGTAGGGCTGAGATGACTAGGCAAACATTTGCAGCCTGTGTACGAAGTCATGAAGTGAGGATAAGCAGAGGTTTAATTCAAATTATTATGTAAGGGTTTGAAATTTGGGACCCTCTAGAAGATACCACTTCAACTTCAGAATTATGAGGCAAGAATAAATTCCAGCCGGCTTAAATGATCAATAATGGGGTCCTGTTTTGTTCCACTAGTTGAAACTGTTAGTGGAAATACAGAATAAGCTGTAACCGTGATGGGAAATATCTTACTGGAAGAAACACTTCCAGCTTTGTGGCATATTAGAAAGATTAAGGGCTAGGTGTAGGTCTGGATTCAAACACTGATGTTTCCACTTGCTATGTAAATTAAACAGGCAGCAACTGCTCTGAGCGTTTGTTTTCTTCCCTGTAATGTGGCAGTGATAGTAGCATTCATGGCATTACCGCGGTAATTAAATACAATCATGTACTAGTGCAGGAGTATTGGTCAATGCTATAGTTCTCTTTCCCTAAATAATATAAATGCTGGAGAGAAACAGCTGTCTCCGAAATTTTTTGAATGTTCTAATTTAACTTGAGCATGTGGACATCACATAACCCACGAAGCAAGATTCTCAAGTTAAAAACAAGAAAATAAGTATGTGCTAGCCTCCAAAATGCATGTATTTAAAAAAAGAATCAAGATTGTATGTATTGGAGTTGATCTGGCCGTCTGCAGGAAATGGTGATAAGGCCCTGGAGTCAGCCTCAGAGGCTCAGATCACAGCTCTTCTGAGAGGTGACTTTGGACCAGTTACAAAGTTCATGTGAGCCTCAATTTCCTCTCTGTAAAATGAAGTGATAGGAATGATAATAATGGTATTTCAGTAGTATTTCTAACTCCTACTGCCTTAATTGTGTGTGTGCATGATGGGAGGGGAGGTGATGGTAGAATTCTTCACTGGCAAAAGCAGTGACAGCAACCTGTAATAACAGCTTCTTAAATAATACTCCTTTCTAGTTCTGATGGGCATATGGGAACTATTTCTTTTTTATGACTCACTGGTGACCAGTGATGAATTTTTCTTGTAGTGGTGGTCTTTGGACACTTCCAAAAGTGGTGTGTGAAATTGAGTTGAAAACCAACCTATTCTGGCATTCTTACACATCAAATATCATGAAAACGCATAAAAGTTCATTTTTGTTCTTCACTACTTGCTTTGCTGTCTTTGGTGTGAGAGTCACATGTTTAAGTTTCTGCTGCTATAGCAGGTGATGAGCCTCATATTGAAAAATACAAAAACAAAAACAAGACTCTTGAGATAGTCACCATTCCTAGGCAATCCAAGCTACAGCCCCTGGGGATAGATTTCAGAGTATTCACAGAGATAACAAGCGACTTAAAATCGCTTAGAAGGCTTATGAATCCAAGGCACAGTGACTGCTTGCTTGGCTGAATTCTATTGCCAATCCTTTTGCATGTTTATATTGCTTTTGTAAAATAGTCATGACAAGTCCTCATGAACTAAGATTGTGGCTTGAATTGGCATTCATCAGCCCAGAATATTGGATTGGGACTTGGGAGCCTTGGAGCTATCTCAGATCTTCCATTGACTTACTTCAGGCTTGTGGCATGGTCTTTATGATTTCAGTCATGTATAAAGTGAGAGTATTTATCAATGGATAGTCCCCCCACCAAGTGTTCAGAGTTTATAAAGGATTCTTTCTCACACACACACACAATTTTTTTTTATGCGTTAGAAGTAGATATTACAGAGTTATTATATTTGTGTCTGGAGGAGAACATGTCTCCAGAAGACATTCAAGGGATGGCATCCCTGGGACTGGGACCTAGGCCTGTTCTCTAGGCAAGGAAAGTGTAAGGAGTTGATCTGACTATCTACAGAGAATGGTGATCAGCACCTGGGGTCGGCCTCAGAGGCTCAGATCAGAGCTCTCCTGCTAGGTGACTTTGAGTAAGTTAGAAAATCTGTGTCACCCTGTAAAATGAAGTGGCAGGAATGATAATAACAGTATTTCAGGGGGTTGTTGTGACAAAAATGACACAATGATACATGCAGACATCCAGCACAGAGCCTGGCATGTAAACTGCTATAGACTTTGTAAAGGACCCTCTTCTCCCTCTTCCCTTTCTGAATTCTAAACAATTTGGGAGAGAAGAAAAATGAATTGGCAGGTGGCAGTCAAATTTTTGTCTGTATTATTTTTGATATCTAAGATTGAATCAGTGTTGTTGCTGAAAAACAGACACAGTTTAGTCTGAGAGCCAAATGGGCTCACGAACACCAAACACCAGAACTACGTAGACATAATCATCCACTTACAAGCCCTGGTGAACCCAGACAGATCTCTTCATGTGGAAGTTACAGCTTGTGTTCTTTATGGGCAGGCTGGTTCCCAAAGTGGGAAGAGGGAGGAACTGAGCAAGACTTTGGAGGTGGGCCTGAGCATTTTCATTTTAAGATGGCTATGTACTTCCAGTGCACATATTCAGGTTAGGACCCACTACTGTAGGCATATTACATATTTTGCAGTGCCATGTGCCTTTGGATGTGCCGTAGCCACTGCCTAGAGTGGCTTGCCTTCTATCCGTCCCTTCTTCACTAGTAAAAAAATTATGCTAATCCTCCAACCTTAAACTTGGGGATATCTTTTGTGAAATCTTCCTCTTCTCGTTCACCCAATGCAAAGGATTGCCCAGTCCTTTCTGTGGGCTACTACTCTGCCATAGACTTAGCTATTTCATAGAACTTACTCTCTATTGAAATTATTTGATAACTAGACTGTGAACATTTTAATAAAAGTTTATTCATGTGTATACATTTGTCAGTGTTTAGAAGAATATCTGAAAGTAATTACACCAAATTCGTAAGCAGTCATAACTCTGAGGAGAGGGATTTGGACAGAGGAGAGAATATTGTTTAACTTTCGTTAATATATGCTCATTTTACCTCTATATCGTTTTGATTTTGTAATAATCAAAAACAGGAGGCCAAGTATGGTGGCTCACACCTGTAGTCCCAGCACTTTGGGAACTTTAGGTGGGCAGATCATTTGAGCCCAGAAGTTCAAGACCAACATGATGAAAACCCTGTCTCTACAGAAAATACAAAAGTTAACCAGGTGTGGTGGCACATGCGTGTGGTCACAGCTACTGGAGAGGCTGAGGTGGGAGGATCACTTGAGCCCAGGAGGTGGAGGCTGCAATGAGCCGTGGTTGTGCCACCTCTGCGTTTCCCCCTGGGAGGACCTCTACATGTCATCTTGGTCACCATCCCAATTTTGGACAGTGTTCTGCCCTCTCACATCCCCTTGTCTCCCCTTACTCTTCCATTGTTTTTCTTTCCCAAGTCTCCAAATGATCAAAGGTATGATTAGGTGTTAGGGAAGGGGCAATATTTGCTTTCCTCATTCTCAGACTTGTCTTGGAGCCATAAGTAGGAACAGGTATCATCTTTTCCAAATACCTTTTTATGGAACTGTTATAAACCTGAACTGATAAAAAGAAGGAAGAGACTACTTGTTTTCCTGCTCTAACCCTATCTATCTTTTCTTATGCAGGTAAACTACGAACTGGGAGTTTTGAAGAATGGGTAAAGACTTTCGTTATTATTTCCAGCATCCCTGGTCTCGCATGATTGTGGCTTACTTGGTGATCTTCTTTAACTTCTTAATATTTGCGGAGGACCCGGTTTCTCATAGCCAAACAGAAGCCAATGTTATTGTTGTTGGAAACTGTTTTTCATTTGTTACAAATAAATACCCTAGAGGAGTTGGCTGGAGGATTTTGAAGGTGCTTCTATGGCTACTTGCCATTCTCACAGGACTGATAGCTGGCAAATTTCTGTTCCATCAGCGTTTGTTTGGTAAGTACCATGACCCATGAAATGTAGTATTGCTCATTATTTAATTTATATTTTCCAAGATACAACTTTACTGTTTCTAAATGCCAATGTAGGAGACATTTTAGTTTGTCCTCCTGCCTTAAAGTTGTTATGCGTGGTTGTAACTGGGTTCTTCAACTACTCTCGGTTAATGGTTTACTTTTCAATTTCTCTCTGTTAATGGTTTACTTTTCCTACTGTCTAAGGAAAATTAGCATGAGGTAAAATTAGTACCAAACTTCATTTCAAAAAAATAGCATTCGGGGAGGTGTGGTGGCTCACGCTGGTAATCCCACCAATTTGGGTGGCCGAGGTGGGCGGATCACTTGAGGTCAGAAGTTCGAGATCAGCCTAGGCAACATGGTGAAACCTCATCTCTACTAAAAATACAAAAATTAGCCCGGTGTGGTGGCGCATGTTTGTAATCCAAGCTACTTGAGAGGCTGAGGTAGGAGGATCACTTGAACGTGGGAGGCGTAGGTTGCAGTGAGCCGAGATTGCACTACTGCACTATAGCCGAGGTGACAGAGCGAGACTCCGTCTCAAAAAAAAAAAAAAAAAAAAAAAAAAAAAAAAAAGCATTAGGAATAAAATGAATATATACATAATCTTGTTTTTTGAAAACTTGTTTAAAAATTTTAAATTTTTTAAAATTATACTTTTAAGTTCTAGGGTACAGGTGCACAATGTGTGAATTTGTTATATAGGTATACATGTGCCATGTTGGTTTGCTGCACCCATTGACTCAACATTTACATTACGTATTTCTCCTAATGCGGTCCATCTCCCTGCCCCCAACCCCATGACAGGCCCTGGGGTGTGATGTTCCCCACCACATGTCCGAGTGTTCTCATTGTTCAGTTCCCAGCTATGAGTGAGAACATATGGTGTTTGGTTTTCTGTCCTTGTGATAGTTTGCTCAGAATGATCGTTTCCAGCTGCATCCATGTCCCTGTAAAGGACTTGAACTCATCCTTTTTTATGACTGCATAGTATTGCATGGTGATATATACGTCATCTTTTTTAGAGAAGATATGAACAAGAAAATAGCTTCCCCCCCGTAAATAGTACCTAAGTGTGGCAGAGAGTTTATAAATCATAAAGAAAATGACTCCATATCACACCACATTTTCGTTAAATATATTTTACACATATTGTTCATTCAGGGAGTTGGAACTGTAAACTTTTGCTCTCTCTTTTTTTTTTTTTTTTTGGAACATTGGCTTTAGGATGTTTATTTTTGAACCTATCCAACCAAAGAATAGTATATTAGTAAGGAATCTCTTGATAATGACAGAAGAAAAGACTAAATTAGTTTAAGTTAAAAAGGTAACTTACTATAAGGATGTTAGGATATTTCAGAGACCAAGGATACAATGAAGTGACAGGGACATTGGGACATTGGGATAAATGAAACCAAGGTCTTGAAATCTGTTAGGATGCTATTTGTCTCACTTTCTCTATATTATCTGCTTTATTCTCCTTTTACACTGAAGGTGAATTTTTATTACCTAAAGAGACTGGGTTGACTTTCCTGGTCTCAAGTTTAAACTCTCGGTGAAGAGAGTGAAGTTGTCTCAGGGTGTGGTTCCCACCTCTGAACTAACCGATTTTTGCCTAGAGGTAGGTGATATTTATTCAATAAATGTTCATCGCGTATAACATGCCAGACACAATTCTAGACAGTGAATCAAGCCGGCAAGGTCTTCGCCCTCATAAAAACTTAGTTCCTAGAGGAGAGAGAAAGACTAAACAAATAAAGGTATACTCTGTATGTAATGGGGGAAAATAAAGTAGTTTTGAATGCTGTAGTTGGGTCAATTAGGAAGATAATTTAGATAGAGCTTTGGACTTAGCAGTGATAAGATAAATAGGTGACTTACTGAAGGTATTTTTGGTCTAGAGGTTGGATTAGAAACCATGGCAATGTTTTAAGGAATAAATAAATAAATATCCATACACACACATACACATAGTATTATATATATTTTTTTCTCTGTTTATTCCTTAAACGATTGCCATGTTTCTATTATATAAATATATAAAATGCACATATTTTATATTTATTGTCTGTGTGCTTATATGTATAAAAGGCACACATATGTATAGATGCACATAGTTTCTAGACATTTGGTGAGAAACTAGAAGAAAGAAATGGAGAAGTGCTAAAAATGGAAGAAGGGCCAAGGGAACATTTTGTTGTTGTTGGTGGGGCAGATAGTTTTATTTGGGGGATAAGATTAATTGGCCTGCTTATATTCGTGGGAGAAGGAGCTAAAGTGGAGGTAAAAAGATATAGAAGAAAGACAACATCTCTGAAGGTTTCTGTGGTCTCAGACTTAAGACACAGGTAGAAATGGTGGCTTGGAGAGGAAAAGAGGAGAGACCCTGGTTTCTCAAATATAGGCATGAGTGAGATAAAGATTGGTACTCCATTAGGTATGTTTGAGGTGGAGGAACAGGAAGGTGAATATTTGTCTGTCTATTAAAGCTGATAACCTGGTATCTCTTTAATCTGCTAACCTCTGATTTACTGTGAAAAAGAAGATCTGACGATAAAGATGGAGGGGCTTGATGATGCAAGCGGTTTAAGGAAGTGGTTAAGGTTTGGAATAGTGGCCCTTGGGAGTTGGGAAGTGAACTGACTCAGAACAAATGAAAGGGTTGCTGATTATCATGAGGGTTGTTAGCCACTATAAATTTGAATGATACCAGTCTGGATTGTTGAGCAGTGTTCTTTTTGAGAGTTCAGTCATCCAGAAGAGAATTTGAGCGTGATTCATCTGGGTGGAGACTGATCAGGCTTGCTGTGTTGGAAACAAAGGATGGAAAATAAATGGAGAGTTACAGGAAAAGCATTATTCATTTGACTGATAGGGGATTGTGCTTGGACGTGGAAAACAGGTGAGGGAGATGATGGTCTGGTACTGGGGGAACCCGCCGCCAATATTTTAAAGTAGGTTCTTTCTATTTTCCATAAGTGTTGGCCTACTGAGAAATAAAGAGAGACAGTATAAAGAGAGGAATTTTACAGTTGGGATGCTGGGGTGACATCACATATTGGTAGGACTGTGATGCCCACCTGAGTCTTAGACCAGCAAGTTTTTATTAAGGGTTTCAAAAGGGGAGGGGGTGTAAGAACAGAGAGTAGGTACAAAGATCACGTGCTTCAAAGAACGAAAAGCAGAACCACTGATAAGGGCCTAACAAAGATCACATGGCAAAGGGCAAAAGCAGAACCACTGATAAAGGTCCAACAAAGATCACAGGGCAAAGGGCAAAAACAGAACCACTGATAAGGGTCTATGTTCAGCAGTGCATTGTCTTGATAAACATCTTAACAGAAAACAGGGTTTGAGAGCAGAGAACTGGTCTGACCACAAATTTACCAGGGTTGAGTTTTCCCAACCCTAGTAAGCCTGAGGGTTCTGCAGGAGACCAGGGTTTATCTCAGTCCTTATTTCAACTGCACAAGACAGACATTCCCAGAGCATCCATTTATAGACCTCCCCCCGGGAACACATTATTTTCCCAGGGTATTAATATTAATATTCCTTGCTAGGAAAATAATTGAGCGATATGTTTCTTACTTGCACATCCATTTATAGACTCTCTGCAAGAAGAAAATATGGCTCTTTTTGCCAACCCTGCAGGCAGTCAGACCTTATGGTTGTCTTCCCTTGTTCCATAAAAATCGCTATTATTCTGTTCTTTTTCAAGGTGCACTGATTTCATATTGTTCAAACACACATGTTTTACAATCAATTTGTGCAGTTAACACAATTATCACAGTGGTCCTGAGGTGACGTACATCCTCAGCTTACAAAGATAACAGGATTAAGAGATTAAAGACAGGCATAAGAAATTATAAAAGTATTATTTGAGAAATGATAAATGTCCATATTAAGATGAAATCCTCACAATTTATGTTCCTCTGCCGCGGCTCCAGCCGGTTCCTCTGTTCAGGGTCCCTGACTTCCCGTAACAGTCTGGGAGGAGTGGGCAGGGGCCTGAAGATTTGGAGGCTCAGCAGGTGAGATGGGAGTAAGAAAAAGGAAAGAATTGGTGGGTGTGGTCACATGACATGTTGCAACAGAAGTAAACCATTCTTCAGTAGTGATTCCCAAGTAGGGTGTGGTCTTTAGAGAGTGAGTCCTAAAGTAGAGTGGAGAGGTGGGTCATTGACACAGAGAATATTTAGGAACTCAATGTTAGTTGGATCATCCACCAAACATTAAACAAGCATCATATCCTGCATAGTAATTATATGGATAGAAGAGGATAAGGGTGGATAGTGAATGGGAGTGGGTCATTTTCCAAAAATGGATAGAGAGTGCTGGGGAGACAAAACAATAGATACCTGTTACAAGCAATGGCTGGATGTGTTTAGCTCCCATTGGAGAAAATTTTCTCAGTGTAGGAAGCTAAGGCAAATTTAGACCAAAATATCTAGTTTGGAGAAAAGTCATCTGCCTATATTGAAGATTGATTGAGAATCACACCATTAAGCTAATGGTGTGAATTATAAACAGGACATTTGGTTTTGTAATCACTACATTTTGTTAAATTATTCTGTTGCAAACTTTTATCTCCTTATACTAAAATCACATTTCAGTTATGGCTTACATTTTAATTCTCCTGGTGATATAAGTAATCAGCCCTGAAAAAGCACTTTCGATTTCAAGTGGTTTATTGAGTACAAATTATTTTAAAATAATGGAAGTGAGTTCTATTTTTTTTTTTTTTACTTACAGTAGGAAAGATTATATGATGTACTCAGCTTGATTTCTTCTATTTGGCAATTTCCTTCTCCTTTTTCTCTTACTAAAAAACCTATGAACTTTTATGGAATATTAGAGAAGGAATCATAACCTTCTGTAAATGGTGAGGACTCTTGATTTAATTTCCTGATGAACTCCAAACTTGTCCCCTCTCATTCTCCGATCAAATTTCCTAATAAACTTTGAACTTGTCTTCTTCTT